CCACGGCCACCAAGCCACACCCACAGAACTGCTAGTAAAAAAAAATTGGATTTCACCACTGGTTAAAATGGCCCTGGAAAAAGTGATTTCCGACCATGGTCACATAATAAAAATTCAGATGCTTGGCAACTGACTCATATTTATGACGGTGATGCCCTTTTGTGACCTTCTGCCAAGCAAAGTCAATGGGGAAACCAGATTTTTTTAACGACCGCGTCACTAACTTGACCGCTGTAGTGATTCACTTAACGACTGGGACAAGAAAGGTTGCAAAATGGGGCAAAACTCCCTTAACAAATGTTTCACTTAGCAGCAGAAACGTTGGGCTCAACTGCGGTCGTAAGTCGAGGACAACCTGTATTCCCATTTAAAAGGTTCAAGTCAGAACAGCAGTGAAAAATTACTTTGGGGATTTGGGAGCAAATATTGCCAGTCCTGGTTTATACTTGCCTGACTTGGAAACTCTTAATATTCTGTTCTTTTAATCATCCCAATTTGGATGAAAATATATATGTAACCCACAATGTAGATGCTTCTAACGTAAGCCGTGAAAACTGGAAGCTGGAAGCTGTTAGGCAGCCGATAAGGAACAGCCTTTCTCAATTGACACCTTTACAGATGTGCTGGGATAACAACTCCCGGAATTCCAAACTTTGGTGACAAGGGGATATTGACAACTGCTGTCCCAGCACATCTGGAGACTGACAGATGGCCGAAGGTGGGATTAAGACCAATAGTGGGTTTCAAAAAATTTTACTACTGGTTTTGTGGGTGTGGCTTGGTGGCGTGACTTGGTGGGTGTGGCAGTGGAAGGATATTGTAAAATCTCCATTCCCACCCCACTCCAGGAGAAGGTTACTGCAAAATCCCCATTTCCTCCTGATCAGCTGGGACTCGGGAGGCAGAGAATAGATGTGGGCGGGGCCAGTCAGAATTTTTACTCCCAGTTCTCCGAACTACTCAAAATTTCCGCTACCGGTTCTCCAGAATTGGTCAGAACCTGCTGAAACCCACCTCCGATTAAGACATGCTTTCGTAGAGAGAATTTTTAACACCCTGCTTATACAGGTAGTTCTTGACTTATGGCCGATTGCTAAGTCACCATTCAAACAACAGACACCCCCCCTCTCCAAAAAAAGCTACCTATGACCTGATTTTGAAACTACAATGGCAACACACACCCCTGTGGCCATGAGATCCCATCTTGGGTGCTTGGCAACTGCCTTACCTTTATAGCTATTTTCAAGGTCCTGCAGGCACCTGACTGATTTTTGATGGGTTATTATTATCTTTTATTCATTAAACATGAAACTCAGTCAACTGAACATTTAAAAATGTGTCACAAATACGATTGACTTATTATTATTATTATTATTATTATTATTATTATTATTATTATTATTATTATTAGCCAATTTCAAGTGTTTACTTCCATTGCCTGGCAAAATATGCCCCCTGGATAAAATGGGTTTGCTTAGCAACCACACTCTGTTCGCTTAACAACCGTCACAAAAAGGCATAAAATCAGATGGTGACCTACTTAATGATTGCAATGACTTATGGCTGTAATGCCAGGCTCAATTACATACTACCTGCATGTGATTCCTTAGATAGATAGATATATAAGGAATCACATTCCTTATACACACACACACACACACAGATACACACACCTTTAAGTCTGTATTGATTTCTGGCAACTGCTTGCATCAGTCCCTGTAGCTTTTTTTTGGCAAGATTTTGGAAGTAGCCTTTGCTACTTGTGTTGCTTTCTTCTTCCTAGCACAGGGAACTGGTCCAGTGTCACCCAGCTGGCTTTGAGCTGAAGGTGGAACCAGAACTCACGGTCACCTGGTTTCTAGCCTAGTGCCTTAACCACAACACTACGCTGGCTCCAGCTACAAGGGATGAGTTTGTCAGGCAGTTGAATAGAGAAGAGGACTAAAAGCAAGGATTGTCTGATGGCAGACCAATCCTGAACTCAGCACTTGAAAAGTTAATCCTTCTTGCCATTTGCATCACCAACATCTTCCTAGAGCCGTGGTGGCGCAGTGGTTAGAGTGCAGTACTGCAGGCTACTTCTGCTGACTGCCGGCTGCCTGCAATTTGGCAGTTCGAATCTCACCAGGCTGAAGGTTGACTCAGCCTTCCATCCTTCCAAGGTGGGTAAAATGAGGACTTAGATTGTTGGGGGCAAGAGGCTGACTCTGTAAACCGCTTAGAGAGGGCTGTAAAAGCACTGTCAAGCGGTATTTATTTATTTATTACATGTATTTATATGCTGCCATTCTCCCGAAGGACTCAGGGCGGTGAACACAAGTTAAGAAACAAGTACAATAAAATCATAATTTAATCCAAATAATTAATTAGTAGTAAATAATAAAGCTCGGAATCAGTCTCAGCCTATTTGTTTGAAAAGCCAATTCTTCAAGTCCCGACGGAAGGAGGTCGGGATATAGGTCTAAGTGCTATTGCTATTGCTCTTCCTTTTCTCATTTCTTCCTTCCTTCCATCCATCCATCCATCCATCAATCAATCCATGGGATGCACTATTGCAGGCTAATTCTGCCCACTGCCAGAAGTTCGATCCTGAGTGGCTCAAGATTGACTCAGCCTTCCATCCTTCGGAGATCGCTAAAATGAGGAGCCAGATTATTGGGGCAATACGCTGACTCTGTAAACCGCTTAGAGAGGGCTGTAAAGCACTGTGAAGCGGTATATAAGTCTAAATGCTATTGCTATTGCTATCCATTTACTGCTTTGATTGCTCAGTTAAGCTCAAGCAGCAAAAACCCTGAAGTGGGAAAATATTTCCTCCCCTACAGAAAAATATCCTGTTCAGAGGGGAAGTAAGGAAGTTTCCCACAGTCCTCCCTGAAAAGTCACATTTTTTAATGACTGCTGTGCCTCCGGTGGGGGAGGCCCACATACTCCATTGCGGTTCACACTCCTGGGCAAAACAGCTGAGTTTTAATTCAGAAAGCTTCAGTTTAAATCTCACCACCTCACCATTAAACTGCTTTCAAGCCTCTTCATAAGCAAGAAAGGGATCATAATATTTAACGTGCCCTTCGCTGGCAAGGTTTCGCCTCCTGAATTTTGCACAGGGGTGGGGAAGCCCTTCTCAAAAGAATCCTTAAGTATTTCCGATTTAGGCCAATGCCAAGAGAACAAAGCAACGTTGAAAAGTCAGGATAGGGAAAGCCATTGGCAAGGATCAGGTTGTCTTCTTAAGCAATTACTCTTTTAGATCCTCAAGCCTCTTATGTCAAGGAGATATACCGGCCTGCCTTAGAAGAAGGCACAGCGTTCTTAGACATCGACAGTTGGGAGCACATGAAGAAAAAATAATTCCCCTTATCATTCCTTACAGCCCAGATTGGCCTAAAATGCAAACAGGCAGGCTGAGAATATTCAGACCTTGTGGGTTGGAAAACACAAACTGGGTTTAGCCCAGGGGTGAAATCCCATTTTTTTTTTTACTATCGGTTCTGTGGGCGTGGTTTGGTGGGCATGGTGTGGCTTGGTGGGCGTGGCAGGGGAAGGATACTGCAAAAGCTCCATTCCCACCCCACTCCGGGGGAAGGATATTGCAAAATCCCCATTCCCTCCCCACTCCTGGGGGAAGGATACTGCAAAATCCCCATTCCCTCCCCAGTCCTGGGGGAAGGATACTGCAAAATCTCCATTCCCACCCCACTCCAGGAGGAAAGGATACTGCAAAATCCCCATTTCCTCCCCACTCTTGGGGGAAGGATATTGCAAAATCTCCATTCCCACCCCACTCCTGGGAAAGGATACTGCAAAATCCCCATTCCCATACTGCACCGGTTCTGTGAGCGTGGTTTGGTGGGCATGGTGTGGCTTGGTGGGTGTGGCAGGGGAAGCATACTGCAAAATCTGGAGTGGGGGAAGGATACTACAAAATCCCCATTCCCTCCCCACTCTTGGGGAAAGGATATTGCAAAATCTCCATTCCCAGCCCACTCTGGGGCCAGCCGGAGGTGATATTTGCCGGTTCTCCGAACTGCTCAAACTTTCCGCTACCGGTTCTCCAGAACCTGTCAGAACCTGCTGGATTTCACCCCTGGTTTAGCCCCTTATTTCTCCACCCGAAAGGCAGAGGTAACCTCCTGGCCTACCTTGTCAGATTGTGGTGGTGGGGGGGGTTAGGAAGGGAAGGGGTGGGCGGCACTTCTAACCCACCCACCCACCCCAAGCAGGGTAGAAATACACCTTCCCTTCACCTCCCCCCCCTTTTATTTATTTATTTATTTAATTTGACTTATATGCCGCCCTTCTCCGGAGACTCAGGGCGGCTTACAATGTGCTCAGCAATAGCCTTCATCCTTTTGTATATTTATACAAAGTCAGCTTATTGCCCCCACAAACTGGGTCCTCAATTTACCTACCTTAGAAAGGATGGAAGGCTGAGTCAACCTTGAGCCTTGGCGAGATTCGAACCTGCAGTAATTGCAGGCAGCTGTGTTAATAACAGGGTGCACTAAACCACTGTACTATCAAGGCTCCTATATAAGGCTTGAAGAGTACTTCCCGGGTAGGGTTTTTTTTTTAATTTATTTATTTAATTTTATTTTTATATGCCGCCCTTCTCCGGAGACTCAGGGCGGCTTACAATGCGTTAAGCAATAGCCTTCATCCTTTTGTATATTTTATACAAAGTCAGCTTATTGCCCCCACAAACCGGGTCCTCAATTTACCTACCTTAGAAAGGATGGAAGGCTGAGTCAACCTTGAGCCTGGTGAGATTCGAACCTGCAGTAATTGCAGGCAGCTGTTCTTAATAACAGGGTGCTTTAGACCACTGTACTACCAAGGCTCTTTTTGCGCAGGAAAAGCTGCCAAAGGAGCCGGGTGGGTTAGAGGGCTGGGGGGGAAGAGGGGGGACGGACGGACAGGGCTTTAGGGGATCCAGGAGCGAAGGGTTTGGTGGGCGGTGGGGAAGCGGGGGACCCTCCCGCCCCTTCCTCCCGCCGCACCTGAGGACGCGGAACAGCAGGCAGGCCATCAGGCAGGCGCTGGCCGCGCAGGCTCCGACGACAGCGGCCTTGAGCGCCGGCAGATCGCGCAGCATCGCCAGGATCGGGTTGCGCTGGGCACCACCACCGCCGCTGTGATTCCCGGCGGAGGGCGGCGGCGGAGGAGACAGCGAAGCAACGACTTTCTGGGGATCGCGGGAGTCGCCCTTGCCCGGGTTGCCGCCGCCGCCGCCGCCGCTGCTGCTGCTGGCGTTGTTGAGCGGAGGGAGGGAGGCGGTCGGCGCCGGTGCCAAGGCGAGCAAGGCGGCGGCCAGGATGGCAAGCAGGAGGCAGGCTCGCTCCGCCGGCCGCATGGTGCCAGGGCAGGGCAGGGCTGGGCTGGGCTGGGCGGGCGCGCAGGCGAGAGAGAGGATCGCTCGGTGGGGCTCCTTCTCTGGGGTTGCTCGCTCGCTCACCTGGCGCTTCCCCGCTTCGGTCTCTCCTGCGCTCCCAGCCGGATCAGCTGAGCGAGCGAGCGGCGGGGGAGGAGCTGAGCTGGCAGCGCTGGGGAAGGGAAGGGAAGGGAAGGGAGAGGGAGGGAACGGTGGGTAGGCAGCAGCTGGCCCCGAGGCCGGGCCACGGCAGCAGGGAGGCCGGCGTGCGACAGCTGCTCCGAAGGGAGCGCCTGCCCAGCCTCTGGGCCCGGCCAGAATAAGCCTTGGCGCTGCCCACAAAGGAGGAGATTCGTAACTCGGGGTTGGAAGGGGCGCTCCTGGGCGCCGGGGGTTTCTGACGAGGTCACTTAGTGCGGGCAATGAGAGGCCTGCGGGAAAAGAAGCCAGCATCCATCCAAGACCCCGCAGTCTTCCTCCTCCCTTCCCCCCTGCGAACCTCGCTCCCTTCTGCCACTGATGATGTTACCTAGGGTGGGTAGTGAAACGTCTGCAAGAACACAAGCAAGCTCAGAGAGGCCCAAGGATCTCACAGTTGGCCTCCTCCCCCTCCTCTCTTCTTCTTTTTCTTCTTCTCCTCCTCCTCCTCCTTCTTCCTCCTCCTCCTCCTCTCTTCTTCTTCCTCTTCTCCTCCTCTCCTCCCTCTCTCCTCCTCCTCCTCCTCTTCTTCTTCCTCCTCCTCCTCTCTTCTCTCTCCTCCTCTCTTCTTCTTCTTCTTCTCTTCCTCCTCCTCCTTCTTCCCTCCTCCTCCTCCTTCTTCCTCCTCCTCCTCCTCTCTTCTTCTTCCTCCTCCTCCTCCTCCTTCTCTCTTCTTCTTCCTCCTCCTCTCTTCCTCCTCTCTTCTTCTTCTTCTTCTTCTTCTTCTTCTTCTTCTTCTTCTTCTTCTTCTTCTTCTTCTTCTTCTCCTTCTTCTTCTCCTTCTTCTTCTCCTCCTCCTCCTCTTCCTCCTCTCTTCTTCTTCTTCCTCCTCCTCCTCTCTTCTTCTTCTTCTTCTTCCTCCTCCTCCTCCTCTTCCTCCCCTCCTCTCTTCTTCTTTTTCTTCTTCTTTTTCTTCTTCTTCTTCTTCTTCCTCCTCCTCCTCCCCGCCTCTCTTCTTCTTCCTCCTCCTCTCTTCTTCTTCTTTCTCCTCCTCTTCCTCCTCCTCCCTTCTTCTTCTTCTTCTTCTTCTTCTTCTTCTTCTTCTTCTTCTTCTTCTTCTTCTTCTTCTTCTTCCTCCTCCTCCTCCTCCTCCTCCTCCTCCTCTCTTCTTCTTCTTCTTCCTCCTCCTCCTCCTCTCTTCTTCTTCTTCTTCTTCCTACTCCTCCTCCCTCCCACCCCAAAACCTCACTCCCTTCTACCACTGATGATGTTGCCTAGTGTGGGCAATGAAACATCTGCAAGAAAACATTGTTAAGTGAATCACTGCAGTTGTTAAGTGAGTAACCCGGTCGTTAAGTGAATCTGGCTTCCCCATGGACTTGGCTTGTCAGCAGGTCACAAAGGGGGATCATGTGGCCCAGAGACAGTGCAACCAAGGAGCTAAGAACGGTGCACTTGTGCCATTTGTTAAAGAAAAGCTGGAAGGGTGGCAGAATTAAATATTTTAAGTGGACGGCAAGCACCCAGACAAGAAGGGGCCTGGTGGCTCAGCAGACTGATAGCATTGTGATTAACACCAGCTGTCTGCAATTACTGTAAGTTCGAATCTCGCCAGGCTCAAGGTTGACTCAGCCTTCCATCCTTTCTAAGGTAGGTAAAATGAGGACCCAGATTGTGGGGGCAATAAGCTGACTTTGTATAAATATACAAAAGTATGAAGGCTATTGCTTAACGCGTTGTAAGCCGCCCTGAGTCTCCGGAGAAGGGCAGCATATAAATCAAATTAAAAAGAAAAAGAAACCAGGAGCCTCACCAGGTCTCAGGAAATAGCCAAGGATGGGCAAACCAACTTTTGTTGGGTAAATCACAGCTGGCTGGGTTTGAATAATACATGAAGTCAAAGCCAAATCCTTTGATCTCTGACCCAGACTCTGTTCCTCTTGGGATAATCACTTTACAATCCACTTGGAAGACTTTAAGTCTGGAAAGGGGAGAAAAGGAATCCATAGATCACAGAATAACAAGGTTGGAAGGGACCTTGGAGGCCTTCTAGTCCAACCCCTGCTGAAGCAAGAAGCATTATATCATCTCGGATAAATGGTAGTCTAATCTTTTCTTGAATATCTCCAATGATGGAGCACCCACAACTGTGGGAGGCAAGCCATTCTATTGATTAATTGTTCTCAGTGTCAGGAAATTTTATCTGAATTCTAAATTGGATCTCTCCATGATAAATTTCCATCCATTGCTTCTTATCCTGGCCTCTGGGGTTTTGGAGAATAAGTTGACCCCCTCTTCTTTGTGGCAACTTCTTCAAGTACAGTACTGGAACACTGCTATCATGTAATTCAATCTTCTCTTTGTTGGATTAGACTAGGAGTCGGCAACCTTAAACACTCAAAGAGCCACAAAGGTCCTAAATGGAAGTCCCTGTTCAATTCTTGAGCCGACCGGAAGTCTGGTTCTCCCATCATAGTCTCCTCGTAGCACGGCGTCCTTTTTCCTCTGCCGACTGGAAGTCGGTTCTCCTACCATAGAGTCTCCTCCTAGCGCAGCATCCTTTTTCCTCTACCTGTCCTAACCGAAAGCCCTATCAATTGTGGAGCCGACCAGCAACAAGGAGCCACAGCAGAGGGATGAAAGAGCCACATGCGGCTCCAGAGCCACAGGTTGCTGACTCCTGGATTAGATGTACAGTATCTAGTTCCTTCAACCGTTCATCCTACAATTTAGCCCTCGGACCCCTGATCATCATTTTTTTTTTAATTAAATTTTATTAACATAAACAAACGTAAAACACAAATACATGTAAACACTTATACATTAACAAAAAGTCAATCGACTAACTTCTAGAAAACCTTCGCATCGGTGATTAATGTCCATTTAACCAATTTTCCTTAATCATACTATTTACAAATGTACTTGCTTATACCTTAATACATTCATAGAAGTTCAGCAGTATCTTTCTGCAATCATATTAACCATTTATTTATACAATCCTACGGCTCATCTCATGTATCTATTTCTGCGATTCTTGAGTTATGTTCTCCTAATGTCCTATGTTGTTGGCCCTATCCTTCCTTCTAACCATGTGTACCATTTTTGCCAAACTAAATAAAAGTCAGTGTTCTCTTTATCTTGGAGCTCTTTTGTGAGCCTATCCATCTCTGCTCATTCATTTATTTTTGTTATTATTTTTTCTTCTGTTGGTATTATCTCGGATTTCCAATTCTGGGCGCACACTATACGTGCCGCTGTCAATATGTGGATGATAAGATATTTTATCTCCTTGGTACACTGTGGTGTAGTCATTCCAAATAGAAAAAATTCTGGTTTCATTTCTACACTTTGCCTCGTTGTTTCTTCAATTATTCTCTTAATCTCTTGCCAGTAGCGTTGTGCCTTCCTGCAAGACCACCAGAGATGGTAATATGTCCCCATTTGTGTCTTGCACTTCCAACCACATTGGTGATGTGTTTGGAAACATTTTAGCCAAACGTGCCGGAGGAAGGTGCCATCTATAAAATATCTTGTATAAATTTTCTTTGTATGGAATCGACAGTATCATCTTATAATTTTCTGCCCATAGCTTGTCCCATCTGTCCAACTCTATATTGTGACCTATATTTCTTGCCCAGCTTACCATGTTTTCTTTCACTGTTTCCTCCTCTAATTTATACCTTATTAAATATCCATAATCCAGACCCCTGATCATCTTTGTTGCTCTTCTCTGCCCTTTTTCTAGGATTCTCAACATTTATGGGCTTATTGTGGTGACCAGACTGCAGGCCACTTCTGCTGACTGCTAGATTCCTGCAGTTTGGGTAGTTTGATTCTCACCGGCTCAAGGTTGACTCAGCCTTCCATCCTTCCGAAATGGGGAAAATGAGGACCTAGATTGTTGGGGAAAATATGCTGACTCTGTAAACCACTTAGAGAGGGCTGTAAAGCACTGTGAAGTGATATATAAATCTAAGTATTATTTCTTTTGCAGATTAGCAATAATCTCTGCCCACTGCCAGGAGTTCGATCCTGACTGGCTCAAGGTTGATTCAGCCTTCCATCCTTCTGAGTTGGATAAAATGAGGACCCAGATTGTTGTTGGGGGCAAGATGCTGACTCTGTAAAACCGCTTAGAGAGGACTGTAAAACACTGTGAAGCGGTACATAAGTCTAAGCGCTATTGCTATTGCAGATTAACTCTGCCCACTGCCAGGAGTAGGATCCTGCCTTGCTCAAGGTTGATTCAGCCTTCCATCCTTCCGAGATGGGTAAAATGAGGACCTAAATTGCTGGGGGAAATATGCTGACTCTGTAAACTACTTAGAGAGAGCTATAAAGCCCCATGAAGCGGTATATAAGTCTAAGTGCTATTGCTGTTATTCCCAGTGTGTCCTCTTTAGTCATCGTTCAAAATTACCCAACTCTAAAACCTCGGAAGAAGGTTCCCCTCCAGTGCTTGCCTCATCACTCATGCCTAAAATGGAGAACGGGGGAAAAAAAACGCTTGACAAATTATGTGTGTCACATTGTTCTTTATTAGGACTGGATGCCCAGCCAAGTTCTCAGACTGGTTCTCCTGCTTTCCGCTTTCCAATTTCAACAAAAGATGCATGATGTTCCCGCAGGGACTAATCTTGCCCTGTAAATGATACAATGGGAGCTTTTCCATCACCTGCCTCACAGGTGGGCCGATCTGCCGATCTGCCCACATTTAGTCATTCATTTCTTTCCCTGCCCCCAAAGTTTCAATAACAGAGGAATTCAATCAAGATCACATGAGATACTTATACCACTCTATAAAGCCCTAGTAAGACCACACCAAGAGTACTGCATCCCGTTTTGGCCACCACACTATAAACAAGATGTTGAGACTCTAGAAAGAATGCAGAGAAGAGCAACCAGGATGATGAGGGGACTGGAGGCTAAAACATACAATGAATGGTTGCAGGAACTGGGCATGGCTAGTCTAGTGAAGAGAAGGACCAGGGGAGACAGGATAGCAGTCTTCCAATATTTGAGGGGCTGCCACAGAGAGGAGGAAGGGGTCAAGCTATTCTCCAAAGCACCTGAAGGCCAGGCAAGGAACAATGGATGGAAACTGACCAAGGAGAGATTCAACCTGGAAATGAGGAGAAATTTTCTGACAGTGAGAACAATCAACCCATGGAACAGAAGTTGCCTTCAGAAGTTGTGGGAGCTTCATCCCTGGAAGCTTTCAAGATGAGAGCGGACTGCCATCTGTCATAAATGGTGTAGGGTCTGCTTGGGCGGTGGGTTGGACTAAATGACCTACAAAGTCCCTTCCAACTCTGTTATTCTGTTCTATTCTGTTTCCAGTTATGCTGTTGTCCATTGTTGGTCCAGTCAGTTAAATCTTTGGTGACATTCATTAAAGGTTGAGCCTGGAAAACAAGGTAAGGCAAGAACAGAACCAGCTAAAGGTAATCCTTGACTTATAACCATTTGTTAAGTGACCGTTCAAAGTTAACAATGGCATTGGAAAATAATGGTTTACAACCAGGTCCTCGCCCTTAAAACCATCACAGCATCCTCACAGTCACGGGATCAACATTTGAGTGCTTGGCAACTGGTGTGAGGTTGGAGGTCTTTTAGTCCAACCTCCGTTCAAGCAGGAGATCCTAGACCAGTGATGGTGAACCTTTTCGGCACTGAGTGCCCAAACCGGAATGTGTGTGCAAGCATGTGCATGCGTGTGCATGCGCTTGCCGGAGCACCGGAAACCTGAAGACCAGCTTGCTAGCACGCATATGTCTGGTTTTTTGGCCTTTTTTGGCTGTTTTTTGGGCCATTCTCAGACCATTTTTTCGGCCATTTTCAGGCCATTTTTCTGGCCCTTTTCTGGCCATTTTCTGGTGGTCCGGCACCCGCAAAAGACCAGCTGGCAAAGGTGTGCGTGCCCACAGAGATGGCTCTGTGTGCCACCTCTGGCACACATGCCACAGATTTGCCATCACGGCCCTAGACCATTTCAAAGAAATGGTTGTCCAATCTATTCTTAAAAACCTCCAGTGATGGAGCACCCACAGCTTCTGAAGGCAACTTCTGTTCCACTGGTAAATTGTTTTCTCTGTCAGGAAACTTCTCTTTAATTCCAGGAGTTCTTAGTTCTCCTTTTAGTCGCTCCTGTGGCCAGTGTTGAAGTAGAACTTAAATGCAAGTGAGCTTGCCCTCAAGATACAGTTTGTGATCCAGGGATGTATTTTAAAAAGTGACAGATGAACAAAAGATGACAACAAAAATAAAATCTCAGCTGAAAAGAAAAAAAATAGCATTTTCTCTGAACTTCCAAGCATTTTCATTTCCAAACTTGGTTTTTAATATTATCTAAACCAGTGAGCTGGGTTATGATTGTGTCAGATGTAATCTGTGATTGTGGCTTTGATCTTAGCAGATAGAAATGGGCAATAATTTCATAGGCAAGGATTGGTTTTTCCTTTAATGTCGTGCCACACCGCAAACAGTAGCAGGACCAGCACAAAAACAAAATGTGTTATAGTTTCATTTACATTTAAACTCGGGAAAGAGGTCAAGTCCCAGTTTTTTTTCCTCTCTGTTTCTGTCTTTGAAAGACCACCGAATGTAAAAGTTCACAGGGACATGGATGCATAGCCAAACTAAAGGCAAGGTAGAGGTAAGGGACGCGGTGGCTCAGGGGCTAAGACACTGAGCTTGTCGATCGAAAGGTCAGCAATTCAGCGGTTTGAATCCCTAGTGCTGCGTAACGGGGTGAGCTCCCATTACTTGTCCCAGCTTCTGCCAACCTAACAGTTTGAAAGCATGTTAAAAATGCAAGTAGAAAAATAGGGACCACCTTTGGTGGGAAGGTAACAGTGTTCTGTGCGCCTCTGGCGTTGAGTCATGCTGGCCACATGACCACGGAGACGTCTTTGGACAGCGCTGGCTCTTCAGCTTTGAAACGGAGATGAGCACCGCCCCGTAGAGTCGGGAATGACTAGCACATATGTGCAAGGGGAACCTTTACCTTTAGAGGTAAATATTTCCCTTGTCCAGTCGTGTCCGACTCTAGTGGGGCAGTTCTCATCTCCATTTCTTAGCCGAGTAAGCCAGTGTTGCCATAAGATGTTTCCGTGGTCATGTGACCAGTATGACTGTACACCAAGGCGCACAGAACACTATTACCTTCCCAACACAGTGGTGCCTATTTATCTGCATGCATTTCCATGCTTCCAAACTGCTAGAAGGGCAGGAGCCGAGGTGAGGATAGGAGCTCACCCCATCCAGCAGTTCCTGGATCTCGAACTGCCAACATTTCGATCAATGAGCCCAATGTCTTAACCGCTATGCCATTTGCGCCCCATATATAGCCAAACTCCCTTGCTGAAAATAATCATTTTTCTCTTGAATCTCAGGGAACCTGTTTTGAGGAGCAGAGTTTTTGCAAAAAATGGAAGAGGGGATTCCATTCAGCATGCAGGCGTTGGTCGCCCACTCTGGTTTATCTGAACATGCTTCTTTCTAGAGTCAGACTTTAAGAGCGGGAACATATTACCCAGCCTGTGAAAACAAGGCAGGATACAGGAGTGGCTGCTGTACTGTTTGTTTTTCAGGAATGTATTAATCCCCTCGCTTCTGTCAGTGGGACTTGAATATGGTTCTTTCCACAGCTTCTCAGCCTAAGTTAACTAAACCCCTGCTCTTCTTAGCGCTCAGCTAAGTGGCAAATAGACAGAAATGTTGAGAGCTTCGGGCTATTTCATTTTTTCCACCTGTCACCACAAGAACAGAGATCTCTGGCTGAGTGCCAAAGATGAGTGTGCCCAGCCTTTTGTAATATAATCACAAGAAAAGCTCCCAATATTGTATGAGTTACAGTTGCTTAAGTCAAATACGGGAATGTTTTCCCTACAATTTCTTCTGCCTTAGTCTTTTCCCCTTTTTGTCTGAGAAAACACTTGAGATCTCTCCAGGCGGGGCTGAAATCCTGCATGTTCTAACAGGTTCTGGAGAACCGGTAGCGGAAATTTTGAGTAGTTCGGAGAACCGACAAATAGCACCGCTGGCTGGCCCCAGAGTGGGTTGGGAATGGAGATTTTGCAATATCCTTCCCCCAGGAGGGGAGGGAGGGGAGATTTTGCAGTATCCGTCCCCTGGAGCGAGGTGGAAATGAGATTTTGCAACTGCAGGGGAAGGATACTGTAAAATCTCCATTCCCTCCCCACTCCAGGGGAAGGTCACTGCAAAATCCCCATTTCCTCCCGATCAGGGAGGCAAAGAATCGATGGGGGCCGGGCCAGCCAGAGGTGGTATTTACCAGTTCTCCGAACTACTCAAAATTTCCGCTACCGGTTGTCCAGTACCGGTCAGAACCTGCTGAAACCCACCTCTGGCGATGTGATGCCCATTAATTATGTTCTCCTATTCAAATCGCTTTTCATTTTGGCCTTCGTTGAAGAATGGTTCGACCTCCCCTTCCGTTCTAGAAATGGATCCTTTTCTTCTCAAGTGACGGTGACGCTGTTCGCGTCTGTAGCCCTCCTGTCTCCTTATTTATGGAATGGCGACTTTTATCTCTCCCGTACTCAATTGCCAGTCTGAGGACTGTCTTTTTCTTTTCTGAGCTAGGCTCCCTGGCACACTTCTGCACTTCAGGCGTTTTTGACAGTAAATAAATGAGATCACTGAACGTGGCCGTCTTGAGCTCCTTCTGCTAAAAACGGAGGCTTTTGTATCTGCAAAGCAAAGGGAGATGAAGGCCTTCGGCTCTCTTTTATCACCGCTTTGTGTCCATGGAACTCAGCGAGAGAGCTTTTCAAAGGAAAGTTAATATCCTCAATAGGGCTAACCCCCCCCCACACACACACACCCCGCTCCTGCCTTTTGCAGAAGCCACGATAGCAGGAGAAGCTATGCAACCAACACCTTGCATCTCACAATGCCAGATTCACGGCTGGGAGTTCGTTTTTATTTGGTTAATGGATTGTCCGATGGCGGAAAGGATTCCGAGACGGAGATATTCATTCAAGTGTGCCGTCTTCCTTTTTTCATCCTGCCCGACAATGGATGTGTGTCGTTCCTTTGGGAGGGTTTATTAGCCCACACAAGAGAAGCTGAATGCCATGAGAAGCGAGGCGGGAGGCTTTGGGGTCGATGAAGCCCAGCGGAAAGACACGGCGACTTGAAAGCCACACAGCAAAACCCCAAAGGAAGAGTGCACCTGCCTCTAAGTGTATTTGGTCCCGGTGCTGGCCTGCGGAAGGGATAAAAATAAATTTAATGAACGTGAAACTGCTCCGTGGCCTGAATGGATGCTTGGTTTCAACTGAGGCAGGGATGGCAATGTGATGCCCTCATGGCCATGAGAGAATGGATTTCTCCTGATCTAAAGAGTGCAGAGAAGAGCAACAAAGATGGTTGGGGACTGGAGGCTAAAACATATAAACCATGGTTGCTTGGGTATGTCTAGTTTAATGAAAAGAAGGACTAGGGGAGACAGGATAGCAGTGTTCCAATATCTCAGGGGCTGCCACAAAGAAGAGGGAATCAAGCTATTCTCCAAAGCACCTCAGGGCAGGACAAGAAGTAATTTTGTGGAAACTAATCAAGGAGAGAAGCAACTTAGAACTAAGGAGAAATTTCTTGACAGTTAGAACAATTAATCAGTGGAACAACTTGCCTGCAGAAGTTGTGAATGTTCCAGCACTGGGAGTTTTTAAGAAGAGATTGGCTAAC